CCTCAGCTTTTCCCCCTGGAGCATCCCTCCTGCAGTCAGGAGGCAGTTTTATATGTTGCCATTAGCTCTGTTGTCACTCCCTGCTCAGAAATCATCATCAGTGTAGGGGTTTTTTTCTCAGTTTTTCAGGAATTCAGGAAGAATTCACCACAAACCTCACCTGCAGAGCCCAGGCTCACCTCAGGGGAGCTGCTGGATGCTGCACACATCACCCCACCAAAGCCAAGGTAGTCCCAAATACCATGAAAATCCTGATGCCCGTGGGAGGTGGGGAACAAAGGCTGAGCTGTAATTTAGGGTTTCTGGGGACTATGGGACACTCTTCCATTGGGTTCTCCTTGTCTCCAAGGAGGCCAGAGCAGGGCTGTCACTGGTGAGGGTCACCCCCAGTCACCTCCTGCAAGGAGGAGTCTCAGCATGGCCACAGCTGCTCTTTTTGACCCCTCTAGACTCAGGACATGATTTATATCACCTGAATAATGTAAAACCAGGTCCTACCTCAGCGTTTCAGCAGCTGGAAGACAGAAATTCCCTGAGGGGGTGGGGTGCACAGACCTCCCCAGCTCACTGCACCCCAGTGTGGGACTGGCCACCAGTTTGCTGGGTGGGAGAAGCCCCCAGAGCTTATTGCAGGGACCTGCCCCAAGCACTGCTGGCCCTGGTGTGTTCCCCAGTGCAGATCCAGGCAGGACACATCCCCATCCCTGCTGGGGGTTGCAGGGAAGTGTTTTTGCAGGACTGTAGCACTCCAGTGACACCAAATCTGGGTGGCCACCACTGAGCACCCCCAGGGAAGCCCAGCTGGGTCCATGCACCACCTTCATCCTCACCTAAACCCCAGCAGACACAGAACAGGCAGGGACAGAGGAGGGTGAGGCCACAGGACCCCGTGTGTCCCCCCTTTTTATCCTACATAGCCCCAGGCAAGGAGATCCATCCCCACCATCATCATCATCATTGCACAGCCTCATGGGGACAGGAATCTCCTCCCTGCCACCACCCACCCTGCAAGGATGGAGAGGGACACCCAAGCTTCCCAAGCCCAGGAGCAGGCTGCTCTGAGTGGGTGCCCCCATAGCAGTGTCCCCAGCTGGCAGCCCTGATCCCAAGGATGCCCATCCTTCCATCCTGGGAAGGAGCTTTGAGTTCAGCTCTGCCATCAGGACTTCAGGGTTCCTGGGAGCTGCAGCCCTGAGCTTCCATTAAATATTGTCCAGGTGCTGTGAGTGATCACAGGTGAGGTGTAATCTGTCATATCTCCGTTATTGATTGTCAGCTCCAATGTGAGTGATTGTGACCCTCCCCCAGTTCAAAGTCGAGGAAATGTGTTATCTTTTTATTTGCTTGGTGTAGTAGCAAAAGCTCAGCTGGCTGCCAATGGAAAACATCCAGGGAAACACATGTTGGAGCCACGGAGGGAGTGGCAGCCCATCAGCTGCTTCAGTCCCTTGGCTTCCACTTGATTTGAGAATTTGGGATGCTCAAGCAGCTTTGCATCAGCCATGGCCTGGGAATAAAGCTCCACCACCATCCTGCTCATCCTCTCCAGCGGCCCATGGCATTGACACGTGGTTTCCAAGGCACTCACTGAAGTCTGCAAGTGGATTTGTCACCCTGAAAAGCAGGGGAATATTATTATTATTATTATTATTATTATTATTAATAATAATAATAATAATAATAATAATAACATCACCACAACAACCACAACCACCATAACAGCTGATTTCCAGTGAAATGCAGAGAGACAAGCAGGTCAGAAGGGCTCTGGGGGGTGGAGGTTTCTGCAACCATGAGGGAGACAATACAATGAAGGAGCAATTTGGAGCCCTTTGCCGAATTACCCATCCTGCAGCAGCCAGAAGGTGTCAGGCAGATAATTAAACTGCACCACTGTTATCAGCTGGTTTAGCCACACCAGGGAATCAGTGATGGACAGAGATGGGTGTCCACTGCACTCCAGTAAATAGGAATAAATAGGAATTTATTATCCTTTTTGAATGTATGTTCATGGCCTATGTATTCACTCCTGCCATTACAGACTGGTCCTGGTTGTGGGGATGGGTGGGAGGTAAAATGCACATGAAATTTTATGGGGGATGTTCTTCCCCTCCTCTTTTAGCAGCTCAAATGCACAAATCACAGAACCATGGGTTGGAAGTGACCTTGAAGCTCATCCAGTGCCACCCCCTGCCATGGGCAGGGACACCTCCCACTAGCCCAGGTTGCTCCAAGCCCCGTCCAACCTGGCCTTGGACACTCCCAGGGATGAGGCAGCCACAGCTTCTCTGGGCAACTTGTGCTAGGGCCTGCCCACCCTCCCAGGGAAGAATTCCTTCCGTGGGACACACAGCCTGCCCACTTCCAGAGCCCCTCCCAAGAGCACAACCAGACTGTGACACTCTGGCTTTGCTGGGAGCTGACCCTGTGCTGGGCTGGCCCAGCTCCCAGATCCCATCCCAGCGTGAGGCTCCCGTGAAAACTGGGCAGATGAAGAGCTCATCCCTTTCCTCTCTCTTGAAGCAGAGCCACTCCTGAGCTGTTTGCAGCCAGCTGATGTATTGGTGCCCAGCTTTGGCAGAGCAAGGTTGTGGGAGGAGAAGGGCTCTGAGCCAACAGCCCGGTTTTCCAGGCCCCATTCTCCTCACCAGGAGGGTGGTGGACGCTGGGATGGATCATTTACAGCTGGTAACAAGAGGGTTTGCTTTTATTTGGGGATGTGAGGAGCCTTTTGAAGCAGCACAGGACCCTGGTGATGAACAAACACAGACTGAACGCCTGTGATCAGCCTCCTGTGACCTCTCCAGCACAGGAGTCCCCTCCCCAAATGACCCCATGTCACACCCATAAATTCATTGCATCTCCTTTTCTCTCTGCACCTCAGGTGGGTGTTCGTGATTCCCTTGGGACCAGCTGTGAGCATGATCCCCATGGTGATGGGGACAATTCCCCCCCCCCAAGTTGGGAATGGGGTCACCTTGAGTCACAGGGCAGTGACTTTTAGGGACCATATCCAGCTGGCACAGCTCACCACTTCTTGCTACACCCAAAGGGGATAAACCCTCCCAAATCAGGGGCACTCCCAAGCCTTCTGGGAGTGGAGAGTGCCACAGAGAGGATTGTGACTCCTTGGGAGAGTCAGCCTGTGCAGGCTGAGAAGCATCACAGGCAAAAATGCTGATGTAAGCAAACCCATCATGGCATGGGGAGGGAGACTGTGCCCTCTGGACTATTTCTGGCTTGTTTTTCCCAACTATGGAGCCACTGATCTATGATATTGTCAGTGCTGTGACTAAGGGCTCTGCAGTTGGAGTCACATCGAGCCGGAGTTGGAGAGAGGGATGTGAGTGGCTCTCGGGGGACCGGTAATGGGAGAGAGCCCTTCACCTCCTGTTTACACTTTAATGCCCAGCCAGGTCATTCATTATTTATTGCTAATGTATTTATAGAGCATTACCAGCACGCAGGAGCTCTGCAGACAGCTGGGGGAAAGGTGCTCTCTCCTTCGGATATTGTGGGATTAACAGGGCGGTTAAACACAACCTGAGCTCTGCTGACCCACTGCCTTTGTACCCTGGAGGGGCCACCTTTCCCCTCCTGGATCTTGTGGCTTTTCCATGAGTGGTATTTTTTCCTTCTGGGCTGGTGTAGCATTTTCTCCATGCATCTGTCGGGCCCTGGACACACATCAAAGCCTGGTTGTGGGCCCCGGAGGCACCTGCTCCCTCATGCCCACTCATCTGCACCCTTGTGCTGCCCATCACAGTCCAGCACTGTGGGGTTCCACTTCTTTGGGGTGAAAAATCACCCCGATGACTCCAGGTCAGCCAGTGAGATCCTAATTCACTGCCTTCCCTTGCCTCCTCCTCTCCCACCCCTTCAGGAACCAGCTCCAGCTTTGACCACAAGAATCAGCCCCACTGGACCTGCCCACCCACAGCTGCACCACATGTCTGTTCTGTTTAAAAGCAAATCTTTGATACTATCTTAAAATATGCACCAATTAACTCAGCTGTGTCCAGTTCCACCTGGATCTCTGGATGCCAATGAATCCATTAGCAGCCCTGTCCAACCTTGCCTTGCAGACTTCCAGGGATAGGGCAGATATCAGTTATCACCTGGGAGGGTGAAGGGACCCAAGCAGGCTCGGAAGCACAGGGACACAACCCTGCAATTCTCAGGGGTGCTGCAGGATGTCCGGCTTGTGGGGCAGGTCAGAAAATGGGGACCAGGGCTAGAAGGGGAGCAGGACAGCCGTAGATCCTTCCCGGGCTGGAGAGGGGCTGACACAACCCCAAATCCTGCCTGAGAGGGAGGCAGACTGAAACAATCCCCCAAAATCCCCCTGGGATGGAGGCGGACTGACACAACCCCAAATCCTCCCTGGGATGGAGCAGGACTCAGACAATCCCCCAAATCCTGCCTAGGCTGGAGGGGGGCTGAGGCAATCCCCCAAATCCTCCCTGGAATAGAAAGACACCGTGACAGCCCCCATCTCCTCCCCAGGGCTGGGTGGGGACACACCGCAGCATCCTCCCAAATCCCACCTTGCTGGGTGCCGGACAGCTCCCAAATTCTCCCCGGGCTTGACGGAGACCGGGACAGCTCCTAAATCCTGCCCGGGCTTCATGGGGACCGGGACAGCTCCTAAATCCTCCCCGGGCTTGATGGGGGCCGCGACATCCCCTAACCCCTCCCCGGGCTGGAAGGGGACAGAGCCAGCCCCCTCCCCCCGCAGCGGCGGGGTCTAGGCGGGGACCGGTGCCGAGCCGAGCTCAGCCGAGCCCGGCTCAGCTCCCCCCGACGGCCGCTGCCCGCGGCGCTCCTCCGCCCAGCCCGCAGCGCCGGGCAGCCCCAACCCGTCCCCTTCCTCCTTCTCCTCCTCCTCCTTCTCCTCCTCCTCCCCCTCCACCCCCCCAGCCCGATTTGGGCAGCGGCGCGCCCAGCGCTGCCGGCAGAGCCGCCGTGTGCGGGCGCCGCGCCGGAGGCAGCTCAGCCCCGGAGGGGGGGCTGCGGCGAGGCAGGAGCGACCCCCGCACGCCCCTCCGTCCCCCCGCAACCCCCCCCCCCCATCGCGCCCCGGCCCCCCCGCCCTGCCCTGCATGCCCGCGCAGGCAGCATGGCCCGCAGGCAGGCGCGGGCAGCGGGCGGCGGGCGCTGGCTGCCCTGGCTGGGGCTCGCCCTGCTGCCGCTGGCCGTGCCCCCCGCCGCCGCCCCCGGGGGCTGCCCCTCCGCCTGCTACTGCGTGGCCACCCCGGAGCTGGTCACATGCCGCTACGAGCGGCTGGAGGAGCCCCCGAGGGAGCTGCCGGCCGCCGTCCACAACCTCAGCATCGCCGGCAGCAACCTGAGCATCCTGCCCCGCGCCGCCTTCGCCGCCCGCCCGCTGCGCGACCTCCGCCTGCTCCGCCTGCGCCACGACAACATCCACACCATCGAGGACATGGCCCTGCAGGGCCTGCCCGCCCTGCGCACCCTCGACCTGAGCCACAACCCGCTGCTCTCGGTGGCCGCGGGGGCCTTCGCCGGGGTCCCGCTGCTGCGCACGCTGCAGCTCAACCAGGCTCTGCTGGCGGCCCCGCTCGAGGAGCAGCTCGCCCTGGCCATGCAAAACCTCACTCTGCGGCGCCTGGAGCTGGCGGGCAACGCTCTGCAGGCGCTGCCGGCCTCCCTTCTTCCCCCCGGGCTGGAGGAGCTGGACCTGCGGAACAACTCCCTGCAGCGGCTGGCGGCCGCCGAGCTCCGCAGCCTGGAGGCACCGGAGCTGCGGGGGCTGCGGCTCAACCTGGGGTCCAACCCGCTGAGCTGCGACTGTGCCCTGCGGCCCTTCCTGGCCTGGCTGCGCTCCGCGGGCTCCCGGGTGCTCGACGCGCGCAGCCTGCGCTGCGCGGGACCCCCGGCCCTGCGCGGGGCCGTGCTGCTCCGCCTGCGGCCCGAGGGGCTCGTGTGCGCGGGCAGCGAGGGCGGCGAGCCCGGCCAGCTGGAGACGGCCTCCTACGTCTTCTTCGGCATCGTCCTGGCGCTCATCGGCATCGTCTTCCTCATGGTGCTCTACCTGAACCGCCGCGGCATCAAGCGCTGGCTCCACAACCTGCGCGAGGCTTGTCGCGACCAGATGGAGGGGTACCACTACCGCTACGAGCAGGACGCCGACCCCCGCTGTGCCAGCGCCGTGGGCACCCCCGGCCTCTGACGGCGCCCTCGGCATCACCCGCCGTGCCCCTCGACGCCTCTCCGCTCCCAACATCCACACCTCGCACCAGCCCCGTCCATCCCCTTGCCATGGCACCGCCGAAAATTAGTCTCCGAGGACGAGCCGGGAGCGGGTGCTGGGGGGCAGCAGAGCGGGGTGACCCTGGAGGGCTCTCCCTGCCCGTGCCCTCACCTTAGCGCTGATTCCCACAGGGGACCAGGCTGGATCCTTCCCCCCCCTTCCCAGTGCCCGCGGGAAGGGGAAGCACACCGGGATGGGCCCCGCGGGGTGCTGGCAGGCAAGGCCTCGGTGCTCCCGGGAGGATTAGGAGCCTCTTCCCGCACCTGCTCTCCAGCGGCGGGTTTTCTTCGGCGGCCCGCGGGATTCCAGGCTGCCGGCGGGAATCGGCACCGCGCGCGCGTGAGTGTTTGCTTGGCGCATCCAGGCGATACCCGAAACTGTCCTCCTGGATGTTCCTGGAGCCTGGACTTGACTTTGACCATGTACAGCTCTCTTTCCTATTAGATTTCTATTTGACAGATGCAAAGTTCAACTCGATTTCTTTTTTCTTTTCTTTCGCTCCGAAGAGGGAAGCACACCGTCCAGCCGCCCCCCGCCCCCGAGAAGCGACGTGCTTTGCCGAGCCCGTTTATCCATTTAGTTTTGTTCCATGACATTTCCAGCTCGTTCCAGGCACAAAACGATGCAGCTGCGTAGGAAACGCCTCCGTTTGCTGCGTGCATGTTCCCCGGGGCACTTTTCTGACTCTGAAATCTATCGTAGACTCGGCTGTCTCGGCACTTTGTTATTTAAAACGAGCGAAGCAGAAGCTCCCGTCCTAATTCCCCCGCCAGTGTTTGCTTTAGTGCCTGTTACTATATCCTAGAGCAAATATATTGAAAGCTGCACCCACTCCATCGTCTATTTTCTGTAGAGCTCCTTGCAATGATTTCTAAATATCCCCGGAGTTATTGTGGCTGGTTTGCCAGAGGAAGGCAGCCCTGGGCTTCTCCGTGGCTTCTCTGGTGCTTAGAAACTTCTTTTCCTGGGCTGGTTTGGCGGCTAGGGATTGCAGAGAGGTTTTGTGGGGCTTGTGCACAGATCTCAGGCTCTGCCTGTCCTAATACTTCCCTGGGGCTCAGGAGAATTGTCCAGGAAATAGTTTTCTAAAGCAGTTTTTCTCTCCCGGGTGGTTTGGCACCTAATCCATGAGACATTGGAGTGCTGAGCATCGACAGATGCAGGGCTGCAACTCCCAGGGCTTCCCAAAAGGAAGCTTTTGCAATGTGGCATCTTAAAATGCTGAATTCCAGTGCTGGGATGAAAACTGGAGTGCTGCATTTTGATCCATCTGTGTTTGCCTTTCTCCATAGGGGGAGGGTGATACAGGCAAGCCGTGCTGGGACCAGCACCAGTGTTTGCCAGGTGTTTTGGGATCCTCAGGAGCAGCTGGTATTTGGTGTGCTGGGTTAGTAAGGGAGAGTTTTGTGGGAGTTGTGTTCCCTAAGATTGTGTGGACTCAGCTGCCGGGTGGAAAGCTCTGCTGGAGGAAAACACAGTTATTTCCATCCCAGGTGTGCCCAGAGGCCCCCAGAAGGATGGTTTTGGTGCATTTTGTCCCTTTTCTTCTTCCCTTTTTGCAGTTTTCCCCTCTGAACTTCCTCCCCTTGAAATCCCAGTATCAACATGGTCAAGCTGGGAAAGGGGAGCTGGAATAGAGCCTAGATTCTGGTAGGGATATAGCACTGAGCACCAAAATAATTTTCCTGAGTGCTTTGAGCTGATCCTGCTGAGCAGGGAGCTGGTTCCTGATGAACCCTGAGAGCACCCTGGCTCAGCTCATTGAAGAAACTTGGAGCATTTTGGGGATCTTTTCCTGAGGTTTCCTCCCCATCGTAGGAGCTTGTGGGCTCTGGTCCCACTTTGCCACCTCATGCAATGAGGGAGGGGTGAGAAAGCTCAGCCTGCCCCTCACCTTCATCCACTTCCCCGCTTCCTCCCTTCACTTCCCACCCCTGTGCAGCCAAAATGCAGCCCCTGAGCAGTAGAAAGGGCTGTGGGGTGGATTTGCACATGTGGCAGAGCATGGCCCAGGCTGTGACTCCACAGGCACAGCAGGTCATGGGGATGGAGCAGGGAAACCCTGGTGAGATTTAACATCTTGCAAGGAGAAGCCTGGAGAGCGCTGCAGGCAGAGGGGTGGTTGTTGGATCAAGGAACACCAGAGCCTGGGATAGATAACAGGAAACAAATCACCTCCAGGACATAGGAAAAGTGGCCAAACATCCTGGCCTCAAAATCCCTTGGCTAACAGGGTGGGCTGGTGTGTACAGCTGGTTGCTCCAGCTTTTCCTGAGGCTGGAGGGAGGGATGTGGTGGCTTTCAGGCCCCAGGGCTGAGAGTTCTTCTCCTTTTGGCAGCGAGCAGCAGGAGGTTGGGAACATCCTCTCCACCCAGAGTGGGTGCAGCAAGACCCTGTGTGTGTGTGCACTGACCCCCTCCAGGGAGGCAAAGGCCCGGGGTGTGGGTGGATAACCAGCTGTAGGAGCATAATTCCTGTGGCTTGTTAACATCAACATTACTCTGTGCAGCACATACCCCACGCATGACAAACCAGCAGGATTAGGGAACCTCAGGATTAGCGAATTGTCACCGAGCTGAGACTCAAAATGTGCTTTTTGGGTTCCCAGAGACAGCCCTGTGTTTGGAGAAGCCCAGCTGTTTGCATGCAGTCCCTTTCCACAAAGGGGAACGTGGACCTCCCAGCGTCCCAAGCCCATGGCTGCTGCCCCAGGGGAAAGTTACCCCAACAGCTCCTGAAGCCAGATGAATTTCAGGATCTGAACAGCATCTGTGATAGGAATCAAGCAAAGGATGCTCAGAGCCCCCTGCAGTGGCTCATCACCGAAAAAGAGGAGGGGGAAAAAAAAGCCCCAAAATGCCTATTTATATGCCCTCCAAATGAGATGCCACCAGCACTTTGCAGCCCAGAGTGGGCTTTCAGATCTGCTTTTCCTTCCTTATTTTCCAAAGAGCTCGGAGGTTCTCCTGGGCTGATCCAGCCAAGAGGCAGGCAAGGAGGGGGATGTGGATGGAGCCAGAGCTGTGCCAGGATCCCCTCCCTGCCCTGCCTGCACCCACCTGCCCCCACACACATCCTTGGGGGGTTCAGGTGCTCTGAGTATCTCAGGTGTGTTCCAAGTTGCTCCATGGTGCCAGAGCTGTAGGAAAGAGGCTGAGGGTGGTCTCCTTTAGTGCAGAAGAGGCCAAAAGTCCCAGGGTGGAGTGCAGCTGGATTCATCCAGGGGAAATAACTGAGCTGGAGTACCAGCCTTGTCCCCTCTGAGTGTGGGGTTGTGATGCTCCTACGCAGGGGCAGGGAAGGAATTCAACCACCAGCTGCCCCCTCCTGACAAAAATACAAAGAATTAATAATCATTATTTCTCCCCAGGCAGCTTCACCCCTGCAAACCTTCACACCAGGCTCCCTCACCCTCTGTTATCAGGGATTAACCCAAACCTACAGAGGGAGGAAAAATACCCCTCTGCTTTTTACTTTTTGCTTTAGAAAGAGCAAGAAGGAGGTGTTACCCTCATGCCTTGGGGAAACTGAGGCATGAACAAAGCAAGAGTGAGTTCCTGATAGCAGGGAAGGCTTTGGGCAGGGAAAAAAACCCCACAGAAATGGATTTCAGACCTCAGCAGGACTCAAAACTCGGGGCAGCTGTGGGACCTCCAAGCCCAGGACAACCCCTGCTCTGTTTGTCCTTCTTCCAGCTCAGAGGTGGCTCCCGCGCCCTGTCAAAGAAATTGGGATCATTGAGGACCCCCCCCATTACCTGTGGATGCTTCTAATTAGCCAGTTTGGGATAATTCTGGGGGATGGAAGCTCCTTGCTGAGCACTGACCTGCCACTGGCAGGAAGGAGGGGGTGGAGGTGACAACACCAGGGATCTGAGGGCTTTTCATGAGGGAGAGGGGCTGGGGACACTCAGCTGGGCCAGGGAAGCAGGTCAAAGCCCCCAGCAGCAGCAGAGCTGTGTGTTTTCCCAAGCCTGGCTCTGGGCAGCCCCAGAGGGAGCTGGCACAGCACTGCCCGGGCAGATGGGCAAGGACGTGTTTCCACTAATCTGCCCCAATCTGGATTATTTTTCCAAATAAACTTGCTTTCCCAGCTGTTTTATACAAGATTTTGGCACATTGGGGACAGGTGGGGTTCTGGGGATGGGGGAGAATCTGTCGGGGTGGAGGTGATGGAGGGGTGTCCCTGTGCCCTCGTCTCCATGGAGAGGGGGGACCAGAACATCTCTGAGGTGGTTTTGGCAGCACGTCACCCAATTCCTGAGGCTGGGATCATCCTGTGGTGCTTTCTGAGGGCAAGGTCTTCAGTGAAGTTTTCTCCTATGAAAATCCACTGAAAAATAATTGATGCTGAGGGCCTGGTGTCACCCCACCTCATCTCCCATCCAAAGCAGAGCTGGGATCTTCTGCAGCTCCCATTGGGATAAAACAGCACAGAAAACCCCTCTGGTGCTGCATGTCCAGGATGATCCACATCAGCCAGTTTCTGGGTGTTTGGGGATCTCTCAGGGAGCCAGGGGGAGCAGGAGCAACCCAGGGCAGATCAGTGTTGTTCCTGCTCCTGTGTAAGGACACACCAGCACAGACAGTCCTGTGGAGCTGCTCCATCCTCCCAGCACGTTTCCCAGCCCCTCGGCAGCCTGACATTTACAAATCCCTATTTTTAGATGATCTTCATCCCTTTTAATTGTTCAGGTGGCTCAGAGATGCTGCTCTGCACAGGCAGGACAGATCCCTGAGCCCCTGTTTCTCTCTTCCTCTGTGCCTCAGTCTCCTTTTGGAAAACAGTGGAGTTGACTCCCGTTGACTCCCATTGACTCTAGGGACCAGGTTTTGGGGGATGTTGGTCCCACTCCAACCCCAAACCCTCTGGTGGGACTTCAGGAGCTTCATACACACAGAAACCATTCCTTAACTTCCCCAAATAACATCACAAGAGGAGGCAACCAACCCTCATCCCTTCTTGCTGCCCTGACACCACCGGCAGCCCAGCACCCAGGGCACCATCCTCATTCTCCCATAGCAAGG